GGTGGGGGAGGGGGCTAAGCCCATCCACCACTTGCCTCTGAAGTAGGGGGCTTCCCCGGGCCCACTTGGCCACCGTTCTCTTATTTCCTTGTCCTGTGGATTTCCAAGTCCGCCCGGCCAGCCCTGTCCCCTCCAGAGGTGGGGACTTAGGAGGGGGCATTGGGGGGAGGGTCACAAAGGGTTTACATTCTCCACCAAGCAGTAGCACCAACGTTGATGAGGTCGTGAGTCAGGGGTCCTGGGAAGCTCACTTTCTCTTCCGGCCACAGGATTTCCCCAGGCAGGCCCCACCTGGGTGGGAAGGGGCACATGCAATGGTCAGTCAGGCCCCTCCCCATTGCTGCTCAGGCCACTGTCCACTGCCCAACACCAACAACATCACAGTGGGGGAGCAGAGGCTCCAAGGAGCCTCTAGAAGCCTCCAGAAGCCTGGGCTCCACCCCAGGCCAAACTTTTCTTGTACAAATTCCCACTGGACAGGTGGGTGGAACCAGGGCTTAAGATGTGGTTGATGAAACCAAGGTTCAGAGAAGGGAACAGGCCAGGCCATGGGGCCAGGTCCAGGAAGGACTGGGCCTGGATAAGGTCTCTCTACTCTGAATCCACTGCATCTGGGAAGCCTTTAGTGAGTGACTCACAGCAGCCCCTCGTCAAAGGAAATGGTGTGATAAACATGAGAGTGCCTCAAATAACTAAACTGAGGCCCAGAGAGAGGGAGAGTCTTACTCATTCACAGTTAGTGGATGACCTGGGAATGGAACCCAGGACTCCGGCCCTCTCCTGGGAAGGGTCTGATTGGTAAATCTTGTTTCTAATCATCAAGGCACCATGCTGGTAGTAGGGCCTGGTGTAGTTCCTACCCCTGTGGGAGATAGGCATGGCTTGTTACCGCCACCTGGTGGCAGCAAGAAGTCAAGTGGGGCAGGGACAGGCATCTCTGTGAAGCTCATCCAGGGTGTTTGGAAAGCAATGGGATAGGGCCACAAGCATCACCCTGGGAAGGGTCAGGCTGGTCTTGCCTCTGCCCCTCCCAGCCCTGGCCTTGCCTCAGCGGCCTCATCTGGGTAGCGGGAAGCAGGTGGGGGTAGAAGGGAACCCACTGAGCAGCCACAGGGGTGGAGCTGGGGCTTCTTTGGGTCTCCTTTGGGTATTGTTGGGAGGAAGTTGGCAGGTGGTGATCAGGACCCAACCCTCACACTTCCAGAAGCATGTATGCATTTTTGAGCAAGGGTGGGGCTCAGTGCCAGGTAGTGGCCTCTGCCCACTCTGCCCAGCCTGGGCACCTTGGGTCACCCTGCCCACCCTTCAGATTTCCCTAACTCTAGGGCTCCTATTGTCTCATCCATTTTCTCTCTCTGTCTCTGCTCCTCTGAGTTATTCCTCCCTCCTTCTCCCTTCTCTTTCACTTGGCTCCTTCCTGAAGGGGGTGTTGTGGGCAGCAGGGAGGAAGGGACTGCTAGGCCAGGCCAGGCTGGGGTGAGCTTGGAGGGTTCTGGGCCCACTCCCAGATCTGATTGTCTGCCTTGGAGGCAGAAGAAGGGGTGGATGAGGTGTCCAGCTCCTCCAGCCTCCCCACTCCCTGCCAGGTCTAGTCCAAACATGTTTCCCCCTTTCCCAGACTGTTGGGCCCCAGCCTCTGCCTCTGTCTCTGCCCCTCCCTCCTTGCTCTCTTCTGGGGATGGGGGCTCTACTCGCCTTGGAATCCTAGAGCTCCCAGGGCACCTCCGAAGGGTTTAGGAGGTTTGCCTGTGGAAGGAAAGGTGGGGATTGGGGAAGGGGCCAAACTTTCCCACCTCCCCCAGAACCTCCACCATATAGGGCCTTGATCCTATCACAGCAGGTTCCGAAGGCCTTTTGGATCATATCTTGCATCTAGAGGTCTGAGAAGCTTGGTGGGTGCCCCTTCCCACTACAGCCAGACCCCAGCTTCAGCCTGCCCCAGCTAATACTGGGGTCAGAAGTTTTGCCCTCCCTAGCTACCTGCTTAATATATCTTGTTTTTCCCTTACAGTTTCTTTCTTTTTCTATGGGAACTTGTCAGTCTCTCCATTTAGACCCCGGGTGACCTGGGTCCTGTCTCACTCCTGGTGCCCAGCCAGTCAAGTGTCAGGCTGGGAGCCCCAGGAATCAGGATTCTTGGCCCCTGTCCCCACATCCCAGGGCTGAACTTTCAGCTTCTCTGACTACCCTCAAGCCCTCACACGAGAGGGCCAGCCAAGGGCTGTGGCCATACTAGCCACTCCCTCAACAGGACTCTCCTCCCACCCCAGTAAAGGAGCTCAGGGCCTTGCTTGAAGTGAGGCCCCTCCTTGCAAACTCACCACCAACTCCCAGGCCGCCAGCTCCTACTCCTCCACCTGCAAGGCAAGGAGAGGGGCTATGAGTGTCACTTCTGGGAGCCCACCAAGGCCTCCTGGCAGCATTGGCCTTGCCTGAGAGAGGCAAAGTTCTGGGCTTGGGTGCTGGGTGCCCTGGCTCTGTCTCATTCACTGTGTGACCTTGGGCAAGTCCCTGGCACTCTATGAACCTCAGTTTGCCCCATCTGGAGCATGGTATTTTAGAAGCTGATGTTCCCTGGCCTTGCAAGGGAGGAAGAGAAGAATAAGGGGGTGCCCAGCATAGTGTAATCTGAGGCTATGGGATCCATCCTGGGCCTTGACCCAGCCCCCCTGAGCAGGAGATGAAGTGAGGGAAGGGGAAGGATGGGGCCAGAGCTGCAGTACAGGGCCCTGGGCAGGAAGCTGGGACATACCTGGGAAAAGAGGAGACACTCCGAAGCCAGGTCTTGCTCCAACTCCTGCAGGAGAGACTTGGGGTTGGCATGGGGCAGGCCCCACTCCACCCCATCCCCTCTTTCTCTCTGCCCAGGACCACCTCTTCCCCAGTGCTCCCTCTCCCCCTCGCCCATAGTCAAAGTGGCCTTCTTCACAAATCTTGCCCCTGCCTGGCATCCTGGTGTGGGGCCCCATAGCCTCAGCTTGTCAGCCTGGTGCCTGAGGCCCATGGTGCAACCCCTGACCCTGAGGCCTGCCCCCTTGCCCAGGTTGTTTCCTTTCCTGGACTGTCCCCTCTGCCTTCTCTCTCATGTCCTTGCGCTAGCTGCAGCTCCAGGATTTCTCTACACCTGAGCAGAGCTGAGGACTTCACAGCAGAGATGGCCCCTACCTCCACCTGGGAATGGCCTGGCAGCTTCTAGGACACCTCCAAGGCCAGGGGCACCTGAGAAGTGGGCAGATGGGGTTTGCAACAAGGCAAAGTGTAAGGAGCCCTGAGCATCTCCTCTGGGTTCTGGGGTCAAAGAGATCCTGTACAGGCTGTCAGGGGTACTTTGAGCAGGATTGAGGCCTGAGGTGGGTGGGATGGGGCACTCAGGATGGGGAGTATTAGCAGCCTACAGGCCTGGGCAGGAGGAGAGCAGCAGGGAGTCACTCACCATATTTGGCTGCTTTAGCTGCAGCTGGGGACACACCTGGGGAGATGGGGTGCATAAGTGTTCAGGAATAGCCCTTCCCTCCCAGTCATGTTCCTCTTCTCACCTGTTCACCATTTACCATCTGCCCACTGTCTCATCCTTCCACCATCCCTCCACCCTCCTTCACCCATCTTCCCAAAAGTCTTTATTAAGCTCCTACTGTGTGGCCAGTTTTGTGGTGCACACAGGAAGAGACTTGAGGTGGGTTTAGGTAGGGAGATACAGTAACGACCCAAGAAAGAGTGAAATGTCAACACAAGGCCCACCAGGATGGCAGAGATTTTGGAAAAGTAATTCCCTCCAAGCTTTGGTTTCCTTCTCTAGCAAATGGGCATAAGCATTATCTTAATGAACTCCCATTTGATGTGGTCATGTGGGTTGAAGGAGAAGAGGGAGAGGGTTGGGATCCCAGCTGCAAGAAATAGCCCTAGCTTCTGCTTACTCAAGGCTCCCTCTAAATGCTGTAGGCAGGCCCACCAAACCCTGAGTGGCAAATGAAGTGGTGTTGAGGTGGGGACAGAGAAGACAGCTGGAGCAAGATATGGCAAAATTGGAAGGAAAGTCTCTGTCTCTGTCTCTCTCTGTCTCTGTCTCTCTGTCTCTGTCTCTCTCTCTCTCTCTCTCTCACACACACACACACACACACACACACACCCCATAAACTCATTGATTCCAGAGCAACCTCTTACCTCCAAAGGCCCCAACCCCTGGGACAAGTCCACCAGCCCCAAGCCCTCCAATCCCCAGTCCTCCGGCTCCGAGTCCTCCTCCACCCAGGCCTGTGGAGAGAGCTGTGTGTTAAAACCTCATCAGTCAAAACCCCACTACTTGTCTGTGAAGAGCTGAAGTTTTCATCCCAGGACCCAGGTGGAGCCTGAGTTTCCAGGGCCTTAGTGGATGCAATGGGGCCAGGAGGTGGACTGGGCCCTGGGGAGACAATGCCCTTGAGCGCCTTAGGGGCTGGTCAGGGAATAATGCTCCACGGTGCAAGGTCAGAGGCCCCCCAAACCCTGGGGCCTGGTGGCAGCCCCCACCTCCACACAGTGCTCACCATATTGGGCAGCTTTGGCAGCAGCCTTGGTGGCAGCAGCCAAGGCAGCAGGTCCGGCTCCTAGGGACACAGAGGGAGCTCAGGGAGCAATTCTTCATGGGTGTGTCTCCTTCCCTGCCCAGCCCATCCTGGGGTTTCGACTCACCTGCCACACCACCTGGGACACCTGCTCCACCAAGACCACCAGGCCCTCCAAGACCACCAGGCCCTCCTGCTCCTGAGGAGAGGGGCCAGAGAGTCAGTTCCCCCATTTCTGAAGGACAAGGTTCTTCCTGACCCGGGGACATTAGTCAAGCAGACAGGTGGCCAAGGTCATGTGACCCAGTGGAAGGAGGACTGGACAGAAGTCCCTACCCAGACACCTGGGCCCATGTTCCTGACCAATCAGGCAAGAGCGGGCTCCTTTGAGCCTTGGCCTGCCCATCTTTTCCTCCACCCCCTGGTCTAGCACTAGAGCCACAGGTGGCCACAAGCTGCCGAGGGGGGAAGACTACTGACAGCCCTGGGTTCCAATCCTGGTTTGTCCACTCATTAGGGCTGTCACCTCTCTGAGCTCCAGTGCCCCTTTAGGGAGATGATGATCCTTACCCCACTCACCCTACAGGTGTTTGGAGAGTAAAAGAGCACACCGTCTGGGAACGTACTCTGGATTTTGAACTGCTGTCCAGAGCAGAGCTGCTAAGAATAGCAGCAGCATGAGTTGCACAGTTCTCAGTGCTTCTCATGGATTCGCCTGCATATTATTCATTGCAACAGGAAAGGTGGGTGCTATTATCCCCATTTTGCAGATGAGAAAATTGAGGCACAACAGAGGTTAAGCAATATATTCAAGGTCCCACAGGCAGGAAATGGCTCTGGAGCCTGTGCCCTTAAAGGTTTTGTTTCCCTGGCAATGTCTGCTAGACTCAGGCTGGCAGAACAGCCAGCAAGGAACAGGAGAAGGGCTTGTGGGTCACCAGGCCCGCCAGGGGTGGGGGCTGAGGAAGCCGGGATTTTCCGAGGTGGAAACTGGCCCCAAATGGACTGGCCGGAGCTGGTTGGTGTTTCCCTGGCAGAGGTCCCAGCCTGGCTCCCAGAAGGCCAGGAATTCAGGGGCCACAGACAGTGTGGGTCTGGCCAGCCAGGGCTGCTGAGTGCCAAGTGGAGGAGCAGGCATGTCTGCCACGTCCTCGTGGCTCGTGGCAGGCGCAGTCATGCTGACAGGGAGGTGGGCAGGGGGCCCGGGCTTCTGCTGGCTAGGAGGCAGATGCTGCCTCGCTGACAGCAACCTGGCCCCTCTGTGGCCCTAGGTCCACAAAACTCTGGGGGCCAGAAGTGCCTTAGGGACCATGGTCTTCACCAAGGTGGAAATGCCACCAGGGAGGTTAGAAATGTGGGGGCATATTTGGTTGTCCCAGGACTGGAGGCTCAATAGGCATTTAGTGGGCAGGAGCCAGGTCTGCTAAGCTGTCATGAATGTGTCCTAGAAACTGCCTTTTTCCATCCTGACCATCCCAGCCCTGTGCTGCAGGCTCTGGGCATGGGCCCCGGCCCAGAGGGAGGGGAGATGAGTGACAGGTGCTGTCAGGAATGTTGGGGCAGCAGTGGAACCAACCATGGTGGTCAGTGTGGGGCCACTCACCATATTTGGCTGCTTTAGCTGCAGCCAGGGATCCAGGTACTGCAGAAAAAGGAAAAAGGAAAAGCGGGGTGGTCAGCAGCTGAGCTCTGTGCTGGGGGGTACTGCTTCCTCTTGGGAGTCCTCCCTGCCTTCCTTGCAGCCCAGGGGCTTCAGCTTCCTTCCCTGGATGGTGGGCTTCTTTTCAGTTTGGAGCCCTGTGACCCCTCTGATGAAGAGGCAGCGACTCTGACATCTGGCAGCCTGGGGCTTCCTTGCCGGGCCTGCCCCCGATCTGTTACCCTAGTCATCTCTGACTGCTCAGGGGAACCTAATGGGGAATTTACCATGAGCCCTCAGATGAGGTGCTGGGAGATGTGCTAGGAGGGGACAGATCTCCCTTTTCTGAGCTCAAGCTCAGGGGTCATTTCTGCCCAGCCTAGAAGGCCCCTCACCTGCACCTGCACCAACCCCAAAGCCAGGAACACCAGCACCAGGTCCAAATCCGGGAACGCCAGCACCAGGTCCAAATCCAGGAACACCAGCAGGAAGCCCAGCCGCAGCCCCTGGGAAAGATGGGCAGGGGGGTGGCTACAGCAGGCAGGAAGCATGCCCCTGTGGGGGTGTCCTGCCCAGGGAGCCGAGACAGGCCCCAAGAGAAGGAGACCAAAGCCCCTTAATCCATCCTTTCTGCTGCCACCAGAATGGCCTTCCTAGAACTCCCACTGACCACCAAGTTCAGCCTCCCCCCCCGCCGCCGGCATTCAGGGCTGCACACTCACTACACCACATCACTTTCCTTTCCAGCTGAACCTCCACTCTTTCCTCCGGGATGAACTCATTTAATTCTCCCAACAACCTTCTGCAGCAGATGCCATCAGCACATGAGGACAGGAAACTCAGAGGTTGCTCAGCTAGTGTGGGGCTCAGGATTCAAACCTGGGTCTCTCTTATGATAAATCTGCTTTTCCAACCCCTCTGCCTACTGCCTTGGGGACCCCCAAGTCTGCATGGTGGGCCTGAGAGCCTGTATATCATGGGGCGCAACTCCCCCTTGGGTCTTGTTGGGCTAGCCTGCGCTTGGTGGGGTGAGGAGAGAAAGCCAGGCCGGGCACTCACGGAGCTGGGCTTTGGCAGCCAGCTGAGCAGCAGATTTGCCTGCACCCGGGATCCCTGCACCTGGAAGGAGAGGAAGGGGGCATCAGGGATGTCACCCATGGAGGATTCAAAGGCTCCTCAGGCCCACTTTCTCACACAACTCACCTACAACACCGCCAGGGCCAACGCCAAAGCCAGGAGCCAGGCCAGCACCAGGGCCTAACCCTACAAGAGTGAGAAGAACGAATCCTTAACCCAGTCCCAACCAAGGAGGACAGAAGCCAATGGAAAGAACAGCAGGCTTCAGAAGGAAAGAACAGAAGGGAATCAGGAGCCTTTTCATCCCAGCCTGGCCACAGGATTGCTGTGTGGCCTTGGACCAGTTATTTTCCCTTGATGTTCCTCATCCCTAATATGAGGCATGTGTAGGATCAGTTCTTAACCTTTAGAGGGACAAGGACCTGTTTGAAATTTCTGAGGGTGGTGGAGGCAGAGTTATGTAGTAAAGGGTGCTCTGTAAGACAGGCAGACATGGGTTCAAAGCTTAGCTCAGCTACATATAGCCATGTGACTGAGCAAGTTACTTAAGCTCTCAGAACCTCAGTTTCCACTTCTGTAAAATGGGAATGATGGTACCAACTTCATAAATTTGCTGTAAGGGTTGCCTCAGCAAATGGCAGCTTTAGTAAAAAGGGGTCATTTGTCATATGTGGGTTCGGGGGTCAGTGAACCTGAAATTAAGATTTCTCTGGCCTAGAGAGCCCTAAATTTTATGATCTGAATCTTTCTGCCCACGAGTCCCTAAAGCCAAGGCGTGTAGATGCCCTGGCCCAGGCCTGGTAGACAGTTGAGCTCTAAGGTGGGACTTCTGCCATTTGCTATACTCAGGAAGGTGTGGGTGCCTGGGGCTGCCAGGGTGGCCCTCAGATATATTGAGAGGAGAACCTTGTCAGGGAGCAAGAAATACTGCCATTGAGGGCAGTGGGAACCCAAAGGAGTCCAGCTTGAGGTCCAGAAGGGGGGCTTGAGGTCCAGTGGGAACCTAGAGGAGTCCAGCTTGAGGTCCAGAAGGTCCAGATAGACTTGGGGCAGCAGGGATTTTGGGAAGGGTGGGGAGGTTGGTTCTGGTGGGCTCACCAGGGCCTGTCCTCGCTTTGCTTTCCTAATCAGAGACTTGGCCCACATCCCTGAAAGTGGTCAGATGGGTCAAAGGCCCACAGTGAGAATGTGAAAGCCTGAGGGGTCTGCCAGACCCTAGACCAGAGGGCATGAGAGGGCAGTGCTATAGGATAAGCACTGGGAGCAGAATTGGGGTGGGACACTTACCATATTGGGCAGCTTTGGCAGCAGCTGCAGCGGCTGCAGCTGCTGGGGTCCCAGCTCCTGGAGAGGTGAAGAGAGGAGGTTGGGGAGGTGTCCCCTGCACCCATCCTCACTCTCCCCACCCGCATTGTGGAAAGACCTCCCGGAGTCCACCTCTAGGGAACTATCCCCTCTCCCAGAAGGCCCTCTCTGCGCTGCCTCCTCACTCTGTAGACAGAGAGGGAAGCACACAGAGCCCAGCCCGAGGCAGGCTGCCTGGGTTCCAGGCCTGCTCTGAGGAGGCCCACTAGCTGCCCTGGGCACGTCCCTTCCCTGAAAGCAGCTCAGAGACTGATGGTCTAGCTCAGACTATGGTGGTGGGAGCCCAAAGCTGTGATTGGCAGAGGCCTAGATCGTCTCCAAGCCTCTGTCTAAAAGATTTGTGAAGCTTTCTGCTAAAGGTGATATTAATTTTAAAAAATCTTAATTGTGCCTATATTGGAGGAACTGTCTCATTTGGAGGGAAACTCTAAAGGGGAATTTTCTCCCAGAAAGAAGGAATATAGGAGAGAAATCTTCTGGTGGGAAAAAACAACCAAGGAAGGTTGTAACTTAATCTGATTATGACACTTAATTTCTTCCCTTTGGCCTCTGACTGGTAGAAGAGAAAGAGTTCAGGGGCACCAAAGGGTGGCACAGGCCCTTCCACCTGATCAGAACCAGAGAGGGCCCTAAAGTAAATGAGGCCACCCAATCCTTACAGAGCAGAGCTCCGCCAACCAGCTGGCTGACATCAGATGTCCTGAGCATCCCTGAGGGAGGGAATTGCCAGGTTCATTCATCAGACTGGAATCCCATAGCCTTTCCTCCAAACTCGGGGACATTGCTTTCCCTTCTCCCCATCTCTGGGCTTAGTCTTGTCATCTATAAAATGGTGCACTGGCCTGGGTCAACTCCAGGGCCCCTTCCATGAGACAAACTGAACCCATCTCTGAGTTGGAGACACAGCTCACCTGGCACCCCTCCAGCGCCTGGCACACCTGGCACCAGCCCTCCTGCTGCTCCAGCACCTAGAGGAGTAAAGAGCATCCAGCTCTGCCCCTTGAAGCTCCTCCTCCGAGGGAGCAGAGGGTGGAGGTGGGGTGGGGAACAGAATGGCTGCTGAAGTGAGCACCTTCAACTTGCTGGTTTGGGGTGGGGTGATAAGCTGGGCACCAATCATCCTAATGCTGGGCAATTGAAAAGGGCAGGGAAATTCAGTGCGGCTTTGGGAGATGGGGCCAGAGGCTTCAGATCTTGGCCCAGGCTGTTTCAGCCCTGGAGGCCTGAGTGTGAACTTGCTCTGTCCTCATGCTTGACAGTTGCTCAGAGCTCAGAGCCTGGGCCCTAGGGCAGAGCAAGGTGGGGGTGGAGAGAAGGGGAGGGCACTGCCCAGGAGGTAAGGTCACTGCTGTGGGCTTGGGAGCAGGCAGGGTGGGGGCACTTACCGTACTTAGCTGCCTTGGCGGCGGCTGCCTGGGCTGCAGCTACAAGGAAATGAGAAAGAGAGAGACCCTCAGAAACCTTGCTGGACCTCAGTGGAGCGGTGCTTACTGCTCTCCTGCCCCAAAGGCACTGCAGGCCCTCCCTACATGCTCCTTAGCTCCTTCCTGAGCACACTGAAGTCCAGTCAACACTCCCCCACACCCCTAGAGCTCTACAGAAGAGAAGCCCCCATGCCTTCTCCCTATTTCCCCAGATGGAACTAGGGCTCACGGGAAATGCCAGCTCCAGGGACAGCTCCAGGGACAGCTCCAGGGATGCCTCCAATTCCAGCTCCAATACCACCAAACCTCGGAAAGCCCGCAGCACCAACCCCATAAGTGGGAATGCCTCCAACTCCCACTCCAGCTCCACCCCCTGCAGAGGGACAAGAATTAGATTGAAAAGGATCTCGGTGAGAGAGGCTGGGAGGGCCCTGGTAGATGCTAGTGGACTGGGGAAGTAGGTACAAGCCTCCCCCAAGCCTGGTCCTCAAAGGACAAGAAACCATAGAATGCCTGGGCCCCCACAAACCTTTTCCAGGAACCCTTTATTGAAACCCTCCCTCAGCATTTCCCCAGCCCCTCTCTTCTCTGATTGGGATAGGGCTCATTTGTTGGTTATAGAGAGAAAGCGGGGAGGTCCCATTTCCCCAGCCAGGCTTGGGCTCCTCTGAGAGGGGCCCTGGCTGGGGCTGGGAGGGCCAGGGACACTGTCCCCACTGGGAATGCCATATGAGGGCTCTCCCATCACTCAGCCCTGTGTCCTCATGATGGGAGACCACTGGGGGAGACAGGCCCAAGTTCCCTGCTGGGCCAGTGACTTGCTGTATAACCCTGGGCAAGTCATTCCCCTTCTTTGGCCAGAACAGGGCCAGGCAGAACTATCAGCACACTCACCGTATTTGGCTGCTTTGGCGGCTGCTTTAGCAGCTGCAGCTGGTGACACAGCCCCTAGAGAGACCAAGGGTACACAAACGATCAGGAGAGAATGGAGGAAAGATGCTCAATATATATCCTGCTGTCCAGTCTATCTCCGTTCTATTGAGTCAGCCCAATGGATGTCTAGTCATCTATTCACCCACTCACATCTCCATCTAGTCATCTGTGTACTTAACTACCCACTTACCTACCCATGTGTCTTTCCATTTGTCTGTCTATCCTTAGACTTTAATCCAACCACTCAACCACTTATCTCTCTGCCCATCCATGCACCCATCTACCCATCCATTTATTCACTCATCTACCCATTCATCTATCTATCCAACCATCCACTTTGCATTTGCCTCCTACCCACCCATCTATTCATCTGCTCATCCAACCATCCACCATCCATCCATTCTTCCATCCATCCATCCATCCATCCATCCATCCATCCATCCATCCACCATTCTAACCACTTATCTAGTCTCTCACCTGCTTTTCCATCTACCCACTCATCTCTCCATCCACAATTTTACCCATGTATCTATTCATTTATGTATTCATCCATCCTTGTATCTGTCCATTCATCCTCTTATCCATCAACTTCTCTACTCATCCACAGACAATTCACCCACATACCTAGCTGTCCATCTGTCCATCTATCCATCCATTCATCCATTTATCCACCCACCCACCCCACCCATATACCATTTACTGAGCATCTGTCTATTCTGCTAAGGGCTGGGAACATAGAGGTGAAAAAGACATGGTTCTTTCCCCCAGGAGCACACTGACAGCCAGAAGGTGAGTTGGAGAAGATGATGTTGGCAATAACTAGTTAGGAGGTTGTTATAGCCCAAGGGAGAGAAGATGATTCATGGCCAAGGGTATGGGAGAAGAGGACAGATGAGTGAAGTGTTAGTGAGAATCCAAAAGCCTTGGCAATATTGTCAATATTTCTCTTTTACACATGCACACACACACACACACACACACACACACACACACAGAGCCAAGCACACTTGGTCTGTCCACAACACCTGGGACTCCAGCACCTGGGACTCCAACGCCTGGGACTCCAACGCCTGGGACTCCAACGCCTGGGACTCCAACGCCTGGGATTCCAACGCCAGGGACTCCAACACCAGGGACTCCAACTCCTGGGATCCCAACACCAGGGACTCCAACACCAGGGACTCCAACACCAGGGACTCCAACTCCTGGGCCACCAGGCACCAAGCCTCCAGCAGCTCCTGTGGAAAGAAAGGATTGTTCTGGCCTAAATCCTGTGGGAACCTTAGAGGGCCTCCAAGGGCATGGTTCTGAGGAGCTTTTGGAGTAGCAGGTCCTGAGTACAGGATCCCAGATGGGCTGGCATTGTCTACAGAGCTCTAAGGATTTTGGTCTATGGATAGGAAGAATATGGTCTATGTCTAAAGCAAATTCAGAACATACCACTAGTACCCAGGCAGTTGGTACAGTAGCTATGGATTGGCCTTGGGAGTAGGGTGAGAGGAGCCAGGTGCTCTACAGTTGGCCCCCCCTTCTCCTTCTGCTGGGCCAATCAGTGAAGAACAACAGAGAGGACCAGGCAGAGTGGCCAGAATAGGCAGAGTCATGTTTGGAGAGGTGGAAGGGAGGTTTCCATAGATGGATGAAGGGCAAGTCCATCCAGCCTTAGAGGATTGGGGGCTCCTTGCAGAGGCCTGGGCAGGCTCCAATGGTCTTAGGGCAGGCTGGAGTCCCAGGCCTGCCTCCCCGGGGGCACTCACCATATTTAGCTGCCTTAGCAGCAGCCTTTGCGGCAGCAGCAGCAGCTGGAGTTCCGGCCCCTGGAGAAAGAGCCACAGAGAGTGAGGTCTCTCCCGGTGGCCTTCTCCAGGACACCCTCACCCCTTGCTGGAACAGACACTACCTGCAATGCCTCCAATCCCAGGAATGCCTCCAATCCCAGGAATGCCTCCAATCCCAGGAATGCCTCCAATCCCAGGAATGCCACCAACACCAGGGAGAACTCCAGCTCCCCCAGCACCTGCAGGGATGGGGACAGTGAACAGTGAAGATGTAGCTCCCAGGGCCCCTCCTGAAACTGGGAAGGAAGGCTACTTGGATGTTGGCATTTTAACTAGCACAATGTCCTCTGGGAATGAGGCCCAGGCATCTCTGGCTGGGCCTGCTTGAGAAGGCCCCCACCCCACTGTTCATTGACTCACCCCCAAAGTGTCCATTTCAACACACTCATTAAGGGACTTGTATGTTTTCAGACAAATCCCATTCTAATCACTGCCACATACTGAGAAACCACAAGCGGCCGCTCCCCGGGCCAGAGGGGCCCCTGTAGGAATGTTCAAGGCTTCCTCTCCCTGTGTTCCGAAGACTGGGCCAAGTTTGTAATCCAAGCGCCTGGCTGCCTGGCTCTGGCAGCCCCTCGCCGCCCTGATCTCCTGCTCCCACATTCCACCCTTAGGGGCCTAGAGGGAGGGCCTGTGGGGCCTCCTAAGGGCAGGCCTCTAGTTCAGTGCTTCCCTCCACATTCTTGGCCCCTCAGCTGGTGGGCAGATGTTTTTTTGCCCCACCATGGCTACAGGAAGGGCTCCCCTGGCACAAGGGATGAAGGTGAGGACTTTAGCCCCAGTGATCTGACTCTGAACTGGGACTACCTGGGACAGGGGTTCAGATGTTCACTCTGCTCACTGCATGGGCACAGGGAAGACCATGCCATGTGTGCCAGCCAAGGGATCATGAGCTTGAGGAGCCAGTTAAAAATTTTATAGTACACACTAAATTGATTCTAAACTATTAAAAATTTTAAATGCTCATATAGGTTCCACCAAAAATGATCATTTTAACCACCATAGTACCCATTCCCTCTGCACAGGCTCCTTCTTCCTGTTTTAACCACATGGCAAACTCCACTTATATTTTAAGGCCTCAATCAAATGTCATTTTCTCTGAGAAGCCTTCCTGATTTTCTTCCCTCAGTGGAAATAATATTTCCCTCTCCTCGACTCCCACAATAGTACCTACAGTCTCCAGCAGAGCTCTATCTGTCCCTGGTCTCTCTCTAAAATGGAGGGAGGGATAATTAGATGGGTGAGTGGATGGATGGATGGATGGATGGATGGATGGATGGATGGATGGGAAAGGGATGGAGGGAAGAATGAATGGATGGATGGATGGATGGAAGGAGGAATGGGTGGTGTTGAAAATGTTGGACAAAGCGGGATAGGCTGCCTTGGTTAACAGTGAAGCAGGCTCTCAGTGGTAACAGGGATGGAGAGATTGGGGGGCTGGGGCTAGGAGCTAGGAACTCCAGAGATACTCACCATACTTGGCTGCTTTAGCTGCTGCTGCTGCAGCCTGGGGGCCAACCCCTGGGGGAGGGAAAGGGAGAGACTGAAAACTGTGACCCTGAATCTCCAGAGCCTTCCTGTTCCATGTTGGCATAAGTGGGGGGTTTCATAGCCAACAGAGGCTGATAGAGCTGTGCCACCCAGAATCCTTCTCCAGGCTCAGACTGGGGTCTGAATGCAGGGTTGGCTGGCCTGATTTCTGGAGAGATCTTGCCAGCCCCAGAGCCCTGGAACCTGCGTGATCAGTGCCCCTTTGGCTGGCAGGGAGGTGAGGCTTTTCTTACCTGTCCCCGTTGGGTACCCAGCCTTGGCCCCAGCACCAGCCACTCCTCCAGGCCCATAGCCTGTAAAACAAAGAAGCTGAGTGGGTATCCATGCAGATCTCACCACAGCTGCCCCCTGCCCTGTCCTTCAGGGGCTAGGCTGCCCAGAGTCTCCACCCTGTCACCCCTAGACAGAGTTACAACAAATTCAAATATGTGTGTGTATGGGGGGGGGTTTACTCCCATTGTGCAGATGACAACACTGAGACTCAGGGAGGAAGTTGGTTCTCCCAAGCACGAGGGCCAGGATTGAGAACCAAGCTGTCTAAGTCCAAGTTCCATGTTCCTTCCTTAGGGTGTTCCCTTTCCAAAACTCCATCCTGCCCCCAGCTGGGTGCTCTCCTAGCCCAGGGCTGGGGCTGCAGCTCCTTTGCTAGGAGGCTGCATCTGGAAAGAGCCGGAAGCCCACCAGTCTAGGAGGGCCTTACTCACCATAGGGCAGTTTCCCAGTGCTATAGGGCAGTCCATAGCCACCTGAGGAGAGGGTAGGGTGGGCTCAGGCACTGCCCCACGGCAGCCCCTACTTGCCTTGCTGGGCTCCTACTACCTTGGCAGACAGATCTATTCCCAGGTGGAGGCGGAGCTTTTGCTGGAATCCCAGGCCTGAGACCCTCCTGAGAGTCATGAGCAGCTCACAGAGACTATCAGGGGAGCAGAGGCCCTTGGTGGAAGAGGGAGCTGGGGCACCGATAAGTCCGTAGAGTTTGAGTAGCTTCCTTACTCCCCTTCCCAACAAGAAACAGCTTGTTGTGTGATGTCAGAGGGGTCTTTCCAATGAATCGTGTTTCTTACCATCAACACAAATGGTTTCCTATCAGGGCTGTGGGTCTCTGTGCCTGTGCACGTATATGTATGTGCTCAGATGTGCATGTGGGTGAGGCTAACACCTGCAGGGTGGCTTCCTTGCACTTTCCTTTGCTGGCAACCAGAAGTGGGAGTCAGTTTCCTAACACCCCCCACAAGAGACACCAGTGGCCAAAACAAGTGCCCCTCACAAGCTGCCTCCTCAGCAGTGAGACCCAGTGAGAAGTGCCTCTGGAATCCTCCTCTGACTTACCTGGCAGCTTGGGTGCCTTGATGGGGTACCCCAGTGGGACTCCAGGCTGCTGACCCCCAAAAGGTCCAACTCCTGTGGGAAACAAGGAGAGCAAAATCAGATCCTAGCAACTTGGGCCAGCAGTTCCTGCTGAGCTCCCAGCCTCACTCTCCACTTTCTGCTCAGATAGGAGCCCCACTACATCCAGAAACCATCCTGCCTGAGGGCATTCCTACCTGCTGTCACCAGTCAGCTGGGCCATTTCCTGCAAAAAGCTACAGAACTGGCTCCCTACTGGGGCTTGGACCACAGCTGGGACCTGCAGCCCTTGCAGCATTTGGCACAGACTGGTAGGTTTTCTGGGCTTGTATGGGCTGCTACACATAAGGGGTGGGGACTGGGGAAGCAGACCTGTGACCGATGCCACTTTGTGCTGAGCCAGTCCAAGGCCTGAAGCAGTAGGCATGAGGGAAATTGGACAGGCCTGATGGGATTCTGAATGCCCAGCCCATTCCAGGGCAAGAGCCCCTGCCTGGCTGGCCACCCTGCTGG